GCAGCTCGGTGAGCGCGGGCGCGCCCGGCCGCGCAGCGTCCTCCGCGCCCGCAGCCGGAGGCTCGGGCATCGCGGGGTGGAGGGGGACCCGTCTGGGCCCCGAGTTCCGGGTGGCGACCGGCCTGCGTGCTGTAACCGTGTTGACGGAGGGGGAGGGAGACGCTCTGAGCTGCTCTCGGAAAGGCTCTCTTTTTGGGGAGGCTCATTCATCCGCAGTATCCGCTTTCCCGGCGACTTCTTATTGTTGGACAACACTTGAGACCAGCAGACCGGGAAGTTGCAGGCCGGGGCCGCGTCCTCGCTTCCTGCCTGCCTGGTCCAGGGCAGTCAGATGCTTGGTCAGGCCTAGGGAGCAGAGTTGATGAGTTAACCGCGGCCTCGGGGTTCCGGGAACGAACGTGCCAAGGCTGGTCTCGTTTTCGAGTGTGCGTGGGTTCGGGTGGGTTCTGACAGCAGTGAAGGGAGGCCCCGATTTCATTGGCCTGGATTCTGCAAAACAGGCCTTGCCAGCCCGCCTGAGGTCGGTTGGAATGCTAAGCACAGTCTGTTATGTTTGTCATTTCAAGGCCCAAGTTTAAAAACGAAAATGAAATCGAAGGACTCTTATTTAGCACATGGAATACAATGAACAAACACTGACGTTGTGGAAATTTAGTTTTACCTCGCCAAGTTGCTTTTCGTTAACTAACGTGCACGCTTGGTGAGGTGGATTCCTAATAGAATTGGGAGGATGAGCGAAGTAGAAGGAGCAGTAAGTGAAATGAAGCCAGCAAGCAGTGTGCATTCGGGAGGATAGCTGTCTGGGTCCCCTTATGAAGGAGTTTCTGTCATGTGGTAAGCTTATCTTGGCAGTGGGAGTGTAATTCTGTAGAATTGACTTCTTTCATTGTATAGTGAGTTCTCTCCATGTAAAAAGTGGACTTATCATTTCCCTATTCCCTAAATGAAACTGAACCCCAGTTCCCCTGTCCACCTAGTCTGTAGGGTTGCTGTCGAAGTCTGAGTCCACTCGATGGCAGTGAGTTTGGTTTTTTAAGTTGCTGAGCAGTAGACTAGTCCTATGAGAGGTAGCTTCTCATTCCTGTACCATCCAACTAAATCCAACGTTGTTTATTTACTACACAAAGATTTTCGATTTGTGTGCTCAGCTCTGCATTCATTCAAGTTCGCGGCATTTTTGATCTAGACTTTGACCATCTCATTTTAGGCCCTTGCCCTGCCTCAATTTCAACCTGCCCTGTACATTGCTGTATGAATATGATCATTACCAATGTCCTTAAATTTTTCCATCAGTTCCCTGATGTTCACAGGATGAAAAAGAAACTGGCATATTAAACTTCTATCACAGTGATTAGATAAGCAGGTTTGGACACGTAGTTCCCACCTGTGTAACTTTGGGCAACTTAAATATAACCTCTTTGAATTAATAGCCTGGCACCTAGTGAATGCTTAATGAACATAACTTATTTTACCATCTATCTGTCTGTCATACCATAGTTGTCAGGATGCTGCCTGTATTTCATGGCCTTCTAAAGGAGACAGGTTTCAGCACAGCTTCTGGATTACGGAGGAAGGTGAAGCTTTATATTCCGGATATACAACTCACAGAGCGTAGTTCTACTCTGTCTAGTAGGGTCTCTATAGTTGGAATTGACTTGATGGCTTCAGTTTGAAGTTTTAATCCACTTTAATACTTGGAAGAAAGTCCTGAAGATCTACTTCCAAAAATTAGCCAACAAATACCTTATGTATCATAATAGAATAGGACAATATAGTGGAGGTGAGCCTCCTTCCAATGAAAGTACTCAAAATATAATTTAATGCAGCAGTAGACGCAAGCATCCCAATGGTTGTGAAGAGAGTGCAGGAACAGGCACTCTCATTCTGTTTCTGAGATCAGCAATAGTTATTATTGCTCAATATAGTTTTCATGGATGGCTGGTCAGAATAGATCCCCAGACTGCAATATAAGTATTCAGTTCTCCTGTTTTCTAATCTAGACAGGGACTAGACTCTCTAGCCTTAAATATGCTAGTTTTATGTGCTTGGCGCAAGCTGCTTTAGAAAAGTTTATTCCTCGAAACCTAGGAATGGTTTACTCCCTGATTCCCGTATCCTTTGCCTCCTGATAGTAATCAGCTAACTTGGCTACTAGATTTCTTTCCATTGAGCTATAATCCATACCAAATTTGATTTTCATCGGTAAATATTTCAAGTTCTCTGTGCTTTCAACAAGGATCATTTTGTCATTTGCATATTGCAGATTTTTAAAAAGCTTTGCTTTAATCCTGATGCCTTGCTCTTTTTCATACAGCCCTTTTTCTTTTTGGTTTTGTTTTTTAATTTTAATTTTTAATTTTTTAATCATTTTATTAGGGGCTCATACAACTCTTAGCACAATCCATACACACATCAATTGTGTAAAGTGCGTTTGTACATTCATTGCCCTCATCATTCCCAAAACATTTCCTCTCCACTTAAG